GCTAAATATTGACCTTGAAACTTGAATATTTAGGATGCAACTTAAATATTTAGCTAGCTACCTAAACATGTGATCTATCCAACAGCACCCCTCCCAGATAAACACTCTTATTGTGAAGGTATACATCCTGCTGACTGTTGCTTTGGGTCACGGTTCTGATTTCCCACAATGCTTTGTGTCTGCTTACGTAGCAGGAAGACAATAGCAAAAACAGTTAACGTTTGTAATCCATATTAAAATTTTGTATGTATTGATTTATTTAACTTTACAATCAGAGCTCATTTTTAAAAAAATGTTTAAAGCTGGAGCTCAAAACTTGATGTAATTGGTCGAAGCAACGGGGTTAGAAATGATTTAAAGATGTTATGCTGATGAAGACTGACATCTAGTGGTCAACTGGAGCAACTACATGGAAAACTTTAAAATGCAAGCTCTTAATTTGAAGGGAAGATAGTTTCCTGTACTCCGTGCTTTCGTTTCCCGTCACAAATCAAATCCGTCATGTACCCAGAATGCATCGCTTCAGTTTTCCAATAAACAGTTTTAAAATTACTTTATTGATGCTTCTTTAATGAAAAATCTACAACAAACAAAAGAAAAAGACAAAGAAGCAGCTGAACTAGCAATCCTCAACAACTTTTTAATTTTTACACCAGGAGCTAAAGCTAGTAAGTGGCAAATTAACTTGTATTTTAAAATTAGCTTCCACTGGTTTTTCTATGGTATAAGCGTTTTTGAAGTTGCAGAACTAAATATTTTCATTAGAGCTTTAGAAATTGTGGAGCTAATTTTTGGATTAGCGCTGCCCACCACTGAGAAGAGATAAGACAATGTTATCCAAGTCTTGGTCATCTGAGGCTAAAGCTTCTCTGGAAGCTGTTTAATCTCATGAATGTGTGAGGGATTTCAAATACTAAATAAATTCATTTAACAGACCTGCCAAATAGCATGAAACTAATTAGCTAAACATCCAACCAGAAGAAGTGTAAGAAATGTGTGGATTGACATTGTTCAAGGTATAGCTCCAAATCATTTCAGCCCCTTAAAGTCCGCACATTTACACAAGACAAGGAACAAAAGGACAAACATGTTGTTACTCAGTCTGAAACCTTCTGGTGAAATAAAACAAGTGGCCTGAGTATCACCAGGTGACGTGTGCTTCTTTTACAAATGATAAATAAAATGTTAGGCTTTATAARTCCTTGTCCAATCATCTCGTTTTGTGCATAGCTGCTCATTCTTAAACACCTCCCCCCACCACCACTACATTCATTTGTAACACGTCATTTTAACATTTAATGTGTCACTTTCATTTCACTGCAAGCAGACAAAAAACTTTAAAGAGGTAAAAGCTGCAGCTTTAGATTTAAACTGTGAAAACCTGAATCCCACCAATCGAGTCTGAGAAATGACTTATCTTTCTGACCCCACTCAATTCCTCCAGATTAAATCCTTCCGCTCTGAGTCATCCCCCGTCTCCACTGGCGTGCCCCAAGGCTCTGTGCTTGGACCCCTTCTCTTCATTACTTACCTCCTTCCTCTTGGTTACATTTTCCACAAGTTTGGTGTCCGTTTCCATTGTTATGCCAATGACACACAGCTCTACCTGTCAACCAAGCCAAACTCCACACACCCTCCCTCCATCCTCTCTGACTGTCTCAATGAACTCAATCTCTGGTTTTCAGACAGTTTCCTTCAGCTGAAAAGTGATAAAACAGAAATCATTCTTGTCGGCACTAAAAATTCAATCTCAGAATCTCATAATCTCCTCATCCCTATCAACAACTCTCTAAGCCCCTCCCCTCAGGTCAAGAGTCTTGGTGTCATCCTCGACACCACTCTCTCCTTCACTGCTCACTTCAATAATGTTACTCGGTCTGCCTACTTCCACCTCAGAAATATCAACCGTCTCCGTCCTTCTCTCACTCCCTGCACCACAGCCATCCTTGTCCACAGTCTTGTGACCTCACGGATTGATTACTGCAACTCTCTCTTCTCTTTGGCCTCCCCAACAAATCCCTCCATTAGCTTCAGATGGTCCAGAACTCAGCTGCACGTGTCATCACCCAAACCTGCTCCCATAATCACATCACCCCAGT